AGTCTGGTACCAATTTGCCGACCCCGGAGGGATGGAAGGCTTGGTGGGCCATGGGTGCGGGGATCGATTCCACGTGTGTGTTGTAGGGCGCCTCCAACCATTGCGCCACACACTCCTCTATGAATTTACATAGTATGGAGAAAGTTGTATAATCACTGAACTGAAAATGAAGACTATGTGTCGAAATCATCCACTATATGTTGAGCAAACAACTCCGCTCTAGTGAATTCTATTAATTTAAACTGGATTTGTAGCACCAGAATTTTAACACCTTTGTTAACAGGACTCAAGTTTGCTTATTCAGTCACAATGAGACGTCAGAATTCCGACGCACACGAGTTTTTGTTGTTTCGACGAAGACCTCTGTTGTTACATAAGAATGTCGTTGATGAATCTTCCTACCAAACTCCCGCTACCAACTTGTCTCCGTTTCACTTTTTGTTTAAAATGTCAGGCAAATTACGTCTACAGTATCTATTCCTTAAATAGTTCCTATTCTCTATAATATCACATGTTTCCTATACTAACTATTTGCTTATGACTATCTTAAATCTATCCATTCATAATGTATAAGTTCTTAGACCGTTTCCACATGTACTTCCGGTAGAAGCCTTTGTACAAGCTATTTCATCTCTTTCACATGACCTTTTAATAAGACTTTGCGTTGTTTTTATATAACCTATCTATACGAGCTATTCCCTCGCTATCTGATCAAATTTTATGTTGACCAAGCCCCTGGCATACTGTCTTATCTGGTGTACTTCTCCACATGTACAGTGTCATGCCTTGAATCAGCACTATCTCTAACTCCCTCTGTAAAACCCCACCCATTACAGACAAAATAGGAGGAACTCCAGCAGTCTTAGAGATGAGTGTCTGCCTTCCAAGCTACCAGTGCTCCAACTCCAAGGTCCGCCTAGCTTCCTTCTAGTGTACTTGTTCCCATTTCAATCTAGCTCGTATCCACCCAGCTTACATATCGTCAAATATCACACATTATTATTGTATCGTTATTCTTGCTATAAACTGTTATATCCAAACTCGAGGTTGTTCAAGACAGTTACGGAGAAAAGTCCCGCGTGGCGAATTCATACAAAGTCGAGCATTCCACGTACAGTTGACGGACAAAAGACCAATCCGACCAACTCCCTAATCAATTGGCCAACTAGCACAACGTCGTCCTTCAGTCGTAGATCGAGTAAGCAGAATTTCCCGTCGTCACAGGAATCACTACCATGAAGGGAATCGAGTCGCGCTGCCGCAAATTGCTTCCCAAATTAGAAATGCCAGTACAGCACGGGTGTGGTGGCGAACTCGGAGTTCAAAACGAGAATTCAGCAAATTTTGGTAATGAATCCAGTGAAAGCTGAGATTCCTATCTATAAGTTTTGCCATGCTCCCTCATCTTCGACTGCTCTAGCTAATTATGAAACAGCTACCGGTAGCTGAAGAACACGTGTAGTTGTTCACCTGTCACCTGTAGTCCCGTTGATCATCGAGTGACTCGAGCGGACGCCAGTAAATCTTCCATGTACGATTGACATCAAAGAATGAGAAAGGAAAAAAAAGTGAGGAGAAAATCTCTGATTCTAAGGTAGTATAACGCTGTGCTCAATTTCCCGGTTACTAACAAAGCCATTTTATCTTGCTGTAGTAGCTCGCTTGATACCTCACTGAAAAAAGGATTGCTAAGAAAGAGGACATTGCGTGTGGTCATTGTTTACAAGATGTCTGATAGGGACATTGATTCGATATGGTTCTAGAGTGTACTTTACAAACTTTTAAATGTGGATAAAGTGGACTTCAATAGGGATCCGTTGTACGGGAGTTCCCAGAGTGTATCAAGTGTTCGTTTTCCCGATTTCTGCTGACTAGAGAAAAACACTTGAAGGTTTCCTAACGTGGGCAATCTTTGTAAGTTACCATCTATAAGAGGGTGAGCTTAATATAAAGGAGCGATAATCAAGCATCTCTGTGAGCATGCAGAAAGGACGACGTTACGTTTAGACTGGAAGGATACGTTTCACGAAAATGGAATTATGTCACTTTTTGTTTTATGTGAACCATCATCACAGCTACTGTGCCAGTCTCTTGCATTTGTCGCCCACAAAGGTCTTCGAACATTTCGCCTGTTGTTTCGGCTGCTTCTTCAAGATTTCATCTTACTTATGAACGTTATGGAATACCGGTCGCGACGATTCTCTTTACAATCTCGGCAATATCCAGGTTAAAGCTCCAGAGCAATTCCACGTGAGAGCCGAACCAGTGTGTTTACGAGGATTGGCGGAAGGTTCTTTAGGTGCTTTGGTCTTGTCCTGTTCGGACCCGGTGCTGTTCGATTTTTCACAGACGAAATGGCATGCGTGATTTCGGAAGGGAGAACCAGTGGTACAACATATCCATCCTCCTTTATTTCATATGACGGAAAGTGAACGTGGTTATCAAAGAGATATGAGTAGCAATCGTGAATAATTTTCTCCATTGCCTTTCTGGACGCTGTAACTGTTCCGTCCGGGCGTCGGAGAGCAATCATCTTGGTTTTGTAATTGGCGAAGCTTCGGTGGGCTTAGCGAATGCTTTCCCCAGTCTCTGCAGCTTCGACCATTACTGCTGCTCTTCTCTCTTTAAGATCTGCTTTTATCGGCTTTCTGCATTGTTTTGCAAGTTCGGACGTTTGCACATTTCAGCTCGAGTGATCCTGGAGATAGACGCCTCTTGGTTACTTTCGAAGCTTTCATAGCGCGAACGTGAGGATGTTGAATGAGCTGATCGCATTCTTCGCCGATATTATCGACAACGGCATCTTCCCAACAACCGACTAATGAATTGAATAAGTCCCAGTTTGCGGTGGTTGTGCGACTTCGGTTTTGCAATTTAGCGGCTTTTTCTCCTTTCCGCGAGCAATAGAATCTTGCACGAAGGAGACGGTGGTCTGATCCCGTGTAGAATTTTGGGACAACAACAACATCGATTAGGCAAAACCTTCTATTTACTATGATGTGGTCTATTTCATTATGGCACTCTCCACTGGGAGATTACCACGTCCAGCGCTAAGGGTGGGGCTTCTGGAATTGCGAGTTACCTTGGATGGTCTTGGCCGCCATGATAAACTCAGAGAGCCGCTCACCTATTCGTTCCATTCCAATCCGCGATTCCCAATGTGCCGTTCTTCAGACGTTCTTCTTAGTCCAATGTTGGCGTTGAAATCTCCAATGATGACCTTGAAGAATGTGTGCTCTTCTCTGTAGAACTTCAAGTCCATATAGAACGCTTCGACTTCTTCGTCATAGTTTGATGTCGTTTCGTAAACGACAAAGATTGTCAAAGCCGGTATTGATCCACATCTTTTTAATCGTAAACGTCCCATACGGGTTCTAAGCTGTTCAAATGAATCGATGTTCATGGACAAACTCGTGTTGACGAGAACGCCGACGCCGCCAGCTCCTCTACTGTCGCATGTTCCGAAGAACAGTTCTTCTCCGGTGTCATAGACGGCGTTGAAAGGCTGGCGTCTTCTCGTCTCGGCCAGGCCGATGACGTCGTGCTTTATCCTTCTTGCTTGCATGAGCAAGTCTTCTATCGAGGACTCGGATGGAAGTGTACGTGCATTGTATGTACAGATCGTCACCATAGTTCTTTGTAATCCAGGCAGCTTCCATTGGCCCTGAGATTTTAGCAACCTCTCCGTACTGGTCCTACCCAACGCTGCGAAATTGGTGTTCTTTTGGAGTCAGGGGAATGAGGCCCGTTTTTTTTTTTTACTGTATTTAGCATTTTGATACCCACGTATAGCTTGCTGGGCTCTGAACGTGGGGGCTGGGCCTTTCTCTCAGCCGTGTTATTGACTTATAGGTGCTATTAGCAACCTCCTCTTCATATACTTCCTCCAAAATGGTTCATATAAGATTTGAGAAAAAAGCACATGAACACAGTGAGCATAGAGTATTTCAAATAAAGAGAGATTCCATACGCAACTAATCTTTATCATAAATTTATAGCTTACTGCAGTACAAACATCAGAAGTGAACTATAAAAATGAAGTAGAAAAAAAAACAACCCAATGAACGCATGGAAAAAGTAGAGAAAGACAAGACCATCATTAATATACGACATTTTATAAAATCGCGATATTGCTCTGCACTACTATGATCAACCTGCTTCTCTTAACCGACTTTACGATTTTGATTCATACAGAAAATATGAATTACGCCTTCCCCACTAACTAAGACAATGTCATCGTAAGCTACCTATAGTCAATACCAGTTGGAAGAGAAAAAGAAAACGTACCAGACTGATCAGCTAGAGCAAAACACCTACGAGGATTGACACAACACTCTGCATGCAGTTTGGCACTTGGCATCAAGCTTCAAATGTTACACTGATTACACAATAACAAAAAGGCCTTATTGCTAGTGAAAAAATTGCAAAGAAACACACAGAATTCCACTCATTAACAGTTCCAAAATAAAAGCACGTTAAAATATAGGAGATCGACCCATGCTGAGTCACAAAAACTGAATAGTAGCATGACAATGACAACATGGAAAATCTCAAAAATCTGAACACAAAGTGAAGACTATTATGGATTTACAATTACTATCATTACAAATTACTAACGTAATAAGATACACTCACGTGACACACAACTTCATCTGGAGAAAACGTATACTGTGCCAACTATTTCCTATAAGCAGATTTCCACCAGCACCAAGTTTCACAACTTACATCGTCGGTGATAGAAAGAGATAATTAAGAAAATTGCACTGTTGAAAAAAGAACCCACGACTAGGTGGGACATATCAGTAGCAACGACTTAATTCTTATGCTTCGAGACCAGTACAAAATCTTCAATTGGCAAATGCCCTGTAGTTGCGAATGTAATGCGTGCGAGGATGGACAAATGATGAATCAAAGACTTCCGAATAATTAAGAACTCTCACGAAAGTTAAACCACGCTCTCCACAGTTGTGGTTAAAAGCAGTATCCAACACGATTCAACACTACGCATTTTGTTCATTGTTCAGAGGTTGAGTGACATTCTCACAAGGAAGAGTTATCTTCCCATTGTTCATTCGAGCTTTCTTTTCCTTATCGATTTGAGCTCTATTCTCCTTCTCAGCTTCAATTCTATGATATACAGGCTTGAATAATACGACAAGGACGAGGACGAGAAGAGCAGCCAGAAGCGAGAATACCTTAAATACTTAGTAAATCCGAGATCAACCATTAAGTTCCCATGAACAAAAATAAAGTGGGATGGTTCCCAGACAGAAATATACTTTACTAAGACCAACCATAACAGCCTGTGTGTTATCTTTTGGTTGATTCAATGTGTCAAATGCGTCGAGAGAGCAAACCTACAATCGTTAAATAAAGTGTTCACCAATAGATTGATTTTAACTATAAAATATATTTTAAAAAATTTTGAAGAATGACAATGAGGAAGAACCTACCTGAATGTGCATACGGTCCGGTTTAAGAGGTCGAGCAAACTGTTTCATTACAAGGACATACAAGACACTTTGGACCTGAAAGCAAAAAACATGCAGAGTAGAATAACAGTATACAACCATGAAAAACTAAAAACCAACCTGCCCAGACAGAACTATTAACCCAGTCGAGGTAGCTTCTGATACCGGAAAAGTACACTCTGCAGAAAGCTCAAGTCCAACCGGATATGTTGCGAGACCAAAGATCCCAAACAGTACGCATGTTATGGCAAGAAAAGGGGCGAAATTAGAGTGAAGCGTTAGCTGCAAGTCAAAAGAAAATAGCTCCAGTCAAAAAGGAATCTATAAAATCCACTAAAGAATTAAAACCACAATAACCTGCATAAAAATAAGGCCGAAGACAACAGCCATACCCATGGAAACTTTCATAGTCTCTTCATACTTCTTCGTACGATCAACAAAAACTCCTGAATTGTAAGTCGGTTTAGAAGAATTCGAAACTAAGATGGAATTAACATAGAGTTGAAAAAAGCTGCCTTCTTTCAATTTCTCAGAATCTATAAACTTTCCAATATGCTGAAAAACATTATTCACCACTTCCAGCAGCTCCAAAGATTCCTCCAACTATCATAAGCGCAGCACATATACCAACAAATGAATTCGAGTAGCCGGAAGGACAAAGAAGTTCCTTGAAAACAGATTTTTGGTGAAGTCGGTAAAGAGGATAGTGATAAAAGTACAAATATTCTAATCCATATACCTGCATAATAGTGTATAGACAATTGAACATTCCAATACCACCTCCCATAACGAGAAACAAGATAAGGTACTGTTTTGACATCATGCAGGCTTTAAGACCTAAAATTTAGTCGTGTAAACAAAGACTATGATAGGTTATTGTTCAGTCTTGATTTTGCACCAAATGTAGAGGTTAAAAACCTTTCTTTGCTTAACAGATACATTATCGTACGTGGTGATATCAGGGAGTTCTTGGGAAACCGAGAGCATTGAACGAATTCATTTCAACGCATTTTCTTTCCGCTCATTTAATTTTTGCACAGAGCCTTCTCACTATACGTTAAATATACTAAAAACAAGATATAGTCAGTAAAAGGTTATTCTCTACGTTTAAGAGCATCGCATAAACTGTTCCTTGCATTAGTTAGTTCGTCGAGAGCAGAAACTATTTATGGTGAAAAGAGCACTGAAATATCTTCCACTAAAGAGACGGCTACTGATAAGAATGACAGATAAGTACACCCACAAGATCGCCACAAAGAAAGAGGTTTTTCGCGCAAATGTTAATCAAATACTAAGTGCTATCCATGGATGCCGTTCCGATGTATAGTCACTAATTTGAAAGAATCGGTGTAATCCATTATCTTATTGATAAGAATATTGTCACCATAATAAAACAAGAAAAGATCTATGGTCAAAATTCACCTGGGATGAAGTCCATCTGAGGCTTGCTTGCACTAAAAGTTGGTGGCACTTTTGGTTCACTACGTTTCACTGCTACCTGTAGTTCTACACATATTTCAAGATTACGAACTCTCGAACATGAAGAATTAAGATTTGACGACATTAAATTACTGATCAGGTTTACCGTCGCAAGAATCATGGCAACTAAGGTTGGAACGCATGTGAATACATTAAGATACACCACATGCTGTGGTGAATGAACCATCTGAGGGCTAATGATATTAGCTAGTAGTACACCGAGTGGATTTGACATCACACCAATAGTTGTTGCTAGACCGCGCTGTGTGTCAGGAAACCATGATCCGGCAACCTAAATTTAAAAAAATGAAATATTCGCTAAAGTATGTGCCACGAGCGAAGGATCAAACCCTGTCGACGTTCTTCGAAAGACGATGTCTTCAAAAATAACCTAGTTCCTATTTACAAGAACATTAAAAAACGCAATTATGGTATATGACACGATGCAAAACCACTTTAGGAGGTGTGAAATCTGACTCGGCAATAGACCAAGCGAAGCAGAAATTTCAGTGCACAGAAAAAAAAAGAGAAAAAAAGAAAACAAATCTTTGTGATTAAGAAATACCATTCTGCATATCATTCAAGATTACCTTTGTAGGTAGAAACATTATGAAAGGATAAGCAATCGCTGCAATGGCTTGCCCAGTAATTCCAACGGGAAAGCGATATTTCGGAGGAAAGAATGAGCTGGACAATCGGATCAATCCTCCTATTCCATTTGTCCATCCTATACGTTAAAACAACAAATTTTGACAAAGAAAATAAGGCTAAGTTTCCTATAGCCTATAGATTATTAGGCTCCAACCTAAAGGTTGGAAAATGAATAGGAAAACATTTTTAAAATATCTTCTAAAGAAGCATAATATGAAGCAGACTCCCCGGAAAGAGGAGTCCGATAAGTTTTGTCATCGAAATCTGCAAGCAGTACTACAGTACCCGCAATAAGAATCGCACTTCGTAGACCGAAACGACGTCCTGCCCACATGGCGATAAATCCTACTGGTATTGTACACATCATATATACCATGGAGAACCTGAAGCAATCAATGTACATGCAACTGTTGCAATAAACAAAATAATATGACAAAAGGGAAGAAAATCAGAGGGGAAACAGATCAAGTAAATATACCATGCAGCACTGTTTTCTCCGTAGAAGCTATTGACATAATTAGCAATAGGGGCAAATGCAATCCACGATATTGTGTTGGTGTTGTTCAACAAAGCAACAATTGTTAGGATTACCCATCTACGAGCATAAACCCTAAATACTCAAGGAAAACTTTGATTTTAAAACCAAGACAGAAAATCTTAACACTTTTCAGGAGGAACGATTAAACAAAGCATATCCTCAGCGTTACCCTCAATTAAAGCAGCGATTCTATCTCGAAACGAGTAGCCAACTGTGAAGGGAATCATAAATCATTTGGATCATTTCAAACAATAAGCTGGAAACGGTCCTGAACCACAAGAATGAGCAGTGTCACAAAATTGTGCCCGCGGTGTGAAAACAGAAGAATCACAACATAGAAAGCTAGTTAGGCTAGAAAATGCTTTTAGAAATTACTGGAAAGCGAAGTAATAAAGTAAAATTTCGAATACTGAAAATAAACAAGAAGGTTGGTAGCAGTATTAATAATAGTAAAAACATACTATTATCACCACATAATGAATACCACGATGGATACCAAAAGATTATTACTAACCTGAGCTGAATTACCTCTGGTTCGTCATCTTCGGCTTGTTCATTCGGCTCCATGGTTTTCTGAACTGAACGGTGTAAGGAAAAGCCTTACTGAACCTAGGAATTACCAAACCTACATTCATATCAGTCAACTGCACATTTAGTTTCTCCGGTTGTAAATCGTCGTCGTGAGCCGTCATTTCAAAAAAATATTGTTGAAATGTGAGCTAATTTATTGCATATGATAAACAGAGATCAGATGTTTTAAACACATATCCATATCACGATCCAAACTAGCACTAAGTGAGTAAATAATGACAATACAATCGTCTCTCTTGGCGCAACTGAAAGTCTAGACTCAAACCTTGTAACAATCACAAAACTGCGAAGACAAGTGATCCTACACTTGGTACTAAGTTACTGCTCACCGAATTTCTTCCATAAAAGATGAACGTACCACAGATTCAAGATCTCAAGGCCTCACAAAAATAACGCGTTGTTCTTTTGTTTGAGATAACTGCAGGTTTAGAACAGCTCCAGTATTCCAACAACCATAATAGAATATCCCAAATCCCATTACAGCTCATGAACCTTACTTGGTTACACCAAATATGTAAAAAAAATCTATTGCTTAGTCTATAGAACCAGAAAGAGATCAGATGCGGTTCAAAATGTTGGCGTAAATACCCAGTTTTCGAACAGCTCACGCGATGCACCTCGGCCAAAGTGCCCCACCAAGCAAATGTCGATTTTTGGTGCTCTTTATACGTATCCAATGTGCTTTTCATATCGAACGTGGTTTTGGGACATACTCAACTAAAGAAGAGAATCTCGTCCACCGAAAACCACACTGTTTTCAACGTTTGGAAAAAATTTACAAGGTACGTAAAGTATAATTCTTACATACAGCATAACCACCATCGAAGAAAAGGCCTTTGTATGTTTCTTCTAACGGCAGAATAGGGCTTAAGTGGAAAACCAGCGCCTCAAAATCTTTGCTGCATGAACCATCGAATGATTGCAAGTGCAACAAACAGCTTTATGCGACAAAATAAACGACCGGAAAGAAAGTGCACCATATATAATGCAGTTCGGCCACCTTGCTACGGAAGACGTGCACTATATCTGATATGTGTTATCGCCATCGCCAATGTGCTAAATCATTCCCACTACCTAAATAATCTTTGTAGTCAGAGATTCAAAGCAGCTATCATAGTGGTGGAATTTAATGGTCTTTCCATTGTTTTGCTTCCTATTATCACTTCCGCATTAGTCACCTAGTGTAAACATGTGCTTCAAATAAGAATTAAACCCAGGAACTAGAAAATAGCAATAGCAAAGACGTGATTGCCAGTCCGAAGACATATGATGTTTCGGATATTTACAAAACGAAGACATATGTACACAAATGCCAACGCATTCCCATAAGTTAAAGTTCTCGGTTGAAGGCCAAACGGCTACAGCGGAAGTGAATGGTGTTATGACGACTTGTATTTGAATGCGACTCTCACAATCGAACTGCTAGTGAAGTCCGGTCAAAGGTTGTAACACCCATTAAGTCCCAATTACTGTTGTGGTATACAGCACCTGACATGCGAGAAAATAGAGGCTGTCAGTTTTCCTTACAGAAAACTACAATGGCCTTACAATTACAATTAAATTTAATTACAATGGAGTTATTTATAGCTTTGCCTTTGGGCGCTAAAAAAGGTTTCAGTCCTTAATTTCTCCATCGTCTAATCTATCGCACCAGATGGCTTATTTTTGGGATGGGACCACCAAGATGATAAAATTCGACCAACAAAACAGACAAAAGAAAGGAAAAAAGACAGCAACGTCAATAGAATTAAAAAGGGAAAAACATTGTGCATACCTATTTCAATGCTAGCTTTTTTAAAAAAAAAAACGAGTGCTGTTTACTACTACAACAAAATAACTAACATGAGGTCAGTATCAAAGATACTGAAGACGATTCACGAATACAATGTGGATTCATCTAAAACATTCATCCTAATAAAAAATAAACAGTCATATAATTGAACTAACCATACTGCAAGCAACTCCCTGGAAGAAGACATGATAACCGCCTTCAAAGACTAAACAATGTAATATTAAAAAGGCACGTGTGGCGCAGTGGTCGGAGGCTTCCAGCAACACACACGTGGAATCGATCCCCACGCCCATGGTTCACCAAACCTTTCATCCCTCCGAGGTTGGCAAACTGGTATCAGATTTGCCTGGGAGGATAGCAACACTGGCTCGATACATCGGCAGGCCACCTTGAGTCATTATAAAGGCCAGATATGCATTCAATCACCTCCAAACGATGCTTAATGAAGTCGAATGCATGGCGCATCCCTCAGGGATCCCTTGATCAACTCCGAAAGCCTTTTACCTTTTATTACTAACTTCTCTATCATCCACTGGATGTAGTAGTTCGTATACATACAACAGAATTAAGTATGGTTCCTCACCTCGGTCGGTATTTCCTTCGTCTATTGGTGGAACCTTTCGTAAAGACGCTAAAAGTAAACAGCTGACTTGTCAACATGTTTCCGACAACTTTAGACATTCCAGAACGAACTAATTTCCACTCCTGTTCTTCTTTACTCCAGATGTTCATGTCAAAAACCGTTTTAGACAGAACTCATGATGCAGGGAATGCTCTGGATTGACCGGAATATTCTGCGAAAGTTTCAAGTCTAATTTACTTTTACACCCAACGTCCAGTGACCTACGGCTACCTGACCTCTTGCCAAAAACAATAACATTTAAAGGCCTTTGTATGAAAAAGTAATAGAGTACATATGTATGCGTAAAAACATGTACATATGCATAGCATATACATATGTACATATATTTGCAAATATACACATATATATGTGTATACATGTATACATATATACGGCTGTGCCCGTTAAATTAGGTGATTGAACTAAACAACACGAAGAATGGATGATGCTAGATGAGCAGGATTACAGATCACAGGTGATGAAAAAAATGAAACAAGTTGCTCAATCTGTTTACAACGTCGTAAAATTCTTCGGCCAACTACGTAGAAAAGAACGACTTTCTCTAGAAGAAGATTAGCGTTTCCAATAAAAGGAATGAATCAACAAAAATATTGAGGTTTCCATTCGAAACTCAAAGACCGACCATACGTCTCTCATCCTCTGTAGCTACAGGAAAAAGTTGGGAATAGGAAGAAAGAACTCAGAAGAATCTTTTGAATAGCTATATGACGCCTACGAAGTCCAAATCAAGCAGTACATCATTTCATAAACAAGGAACCTGTTCATCCATCTATATCTTCTACCATCTTCATCCCAGTGATGTATATTGGACTAAAAGAAAGATAGTAACTTTAGCAAACAAAGGAATAAACAAGTACCAGAGCAAATCCCCGTAGCACAGAATGGTCCCTTAACTATGCCAAAACGTCGACGCTACTGAAATTACCGTACCTAGACCTCCATCCCTTTGAAAGGATTGTAAGGAGAGCGCGTTAGTTGTTTAACATTTAGGTATTAAGTGATATGAGAATATTAATGTATATCTTTAGAACTTCTCCATGTTGCTTCAAAAGAAAAATATAAATGGTTCGGATCAAGAATCAATCCACCGTCGCAAAGCGCCATTGTGATGTTAGTTGTGACTGCGATAAGCGACGGAGCGAATTTAATGGAAAGACCGTTCTAAACCATTCTGAAACATTACACTTCCAGAGTTATATTTACGTAAACAGTGCGAAAAAAATCAATATTTGCAGGGCTAAGGTGAGGACGACCATGTTGACAAACACGTTGACCGTAAAAAGCAGTTGAAACTGTGATTATTCACTGTTAGTCAGCACCGCTATATGATTCAGTCAACAAGGAAAATAGAAGCTAATGTCAAAGTACGACTGGAGTCAGCTGATTCAATTGAATTTTCTGGAGAAAAAAAAACAAGTATGTTACTGGTAAGAACAGGTGCAATGATATGAACCAGGCAACGCCTCGTGGGCTTCGGCTCTTATCTCATTCTTCCTTGAAGTATGTACTGATAAGTGATGGAAGCAGTAGAAAGACAGATTTGGGGATTATAGTTTCGGATATTTCATATGACAAAGAACTGTAGAGAGATCTTAAGAAAGTCCTGTCCTACTTAATGACTTGAGAATTGGTCACAGATAGGAACGCGACGGCACCAAGCTATTTCAAGGAATCTACAAAAGAAATATGAGCATTCAGTTGGTTCATGTCATGCTGTCATCATAGTTAAGAGTGTCCTAGGTATCGAACCCTGAAGAACATCGATGAGTTCACTCCTAATAAGGTGAGAATGAGTTTGAAACACCTACAAGCTCGCACCAATAGTGGGAAATTTTGTCTCGGTGAAATGATAGCGTCCGCTTCTGGTGACGATTCCGGGGAACCATAGACACCGATTTTTCGGGAATTCAAGCAGAAATTTAAACAAATCCGCATGTAGCTATTGAAGTGGAAAGTCTGTTCGTGATCATCCGATTCCTCGTGATAAAAGAATGCATCCAACAATCAACAACGGTTTGGATGCTGCTGTGGATTGATCGCTCCATTGCTTCGGATCGATATTTCTGTAAGAGTTCCTTCGGTCTAATCAATCACACCACATGAGAGCTAGGTAGAACTGTGCTAGAAGTGCCTAGGATGTGGAAGTATTTCTGCAAATTCGATATTGAGAGTGTTTCACACAAAATAGAGTTCATCAAGCTCGACTCTATCAATTCTGTTTTTTCGCAAACCGACCGTTGTCTAACCTCAGGAATAATAATAATATTTTAATAATGTACACTTTCTTCCTTCAACAAGCTAACAGGAGGTTGTTACAAGAGTTCTCACTCAGCTAACGTCTCGGCGCCTTCGCCTTCGTCAGTCCCGGATTGATCCGAGTCGATATAGGCGTTCATTCTCTGGCTTCGAATTCGAGTATTCGTCATCGCATCAAGTCGATAAAATCACAACCATACGAGTATGTTAACTTTCTAACTACTGCCTATTATGTAACAGTTCTCAGGATCGACTTTCTCTTAATCTCAACATTGGAATGTGTATGCGTCGTTTTCTTGTTTAGCAATCGCGAGGTTTTTAAACAGCATACATTTACTTCCATAGAAAAACACAATACAATACAACGCTAGCTGACGTTTCGGCAGTATCGCCTTCTCAGAGCCCTCGAAGGGTATACTATGTATACTAGGGTATACAATCTACTAGGCCAAACGCTTCAATAACACTTACAAAAAGAAAAACTCTATGGTAATCACATGATCAAGAGTTTCTCGAAAAACTCACCCCTTTTTTTGTGACTTCCAGTGAGGAAGTTTAGAACAGCTGATTACAGTCGCATGTGGTTGACGACTGCACCATGCCACATCAGAGAATGATGCGAACATACGGGGTCAGGTCGCGTATGATCTCAGGACATTCGTCCCTGCTATTCATTGTAGGGTTTTTGGCATTGATCCAAAAAGCCTCTAGGAGTTTTCGCGCTGGTGTTTTGGACTCCTGTGCAAGAATATTGACTTTTACTTCAAAATCGTCTCCGCTATGCTTTTGTATCCTATGCGTGCCTAGTGGGATGCTTGGTCTTAGTTTTCGTTTGCCATCTAGGCGTTCTTTTATACGGATACACAAAGGTCTGTCCGTTTCGCCAATATATTCATCTCCGCAATTGTTACACGAGATCAGGTATATCGTGCCTGAACTCACATGCAATCACCGTCTCTGCCGTAAGGGCAAATTACGCAATTTATTGTTTCACATAGACGGTCATACAGGCGGTTACGAACTAACTGACGACGTAGAGTAGCCGGTGGTATTTCAACTATCGCTACCGATTCCTCTAGACCTGCCCTTCTTAAGCATCATTTAGTAGCTACGCTTACTTCATCATCATCATCAGTATACCCTTCCAGACTCTGAAGAGGCGATATTGCCGAAACGTCAGCTACTGCTGTATTGTATTGCGTTTTTCTATGGAAGTAAATCTATGCTGTGCAACAACCTCGCGATTGCTGAACAAGGAAAGGACTGCCTATTATATTTTTCAAGGTAGGACGTGATGTGAAATACAACCACTACGAGGCTGAGATATTTGCAAAACTTTGACCCCATGCTAGATTCGAACTCACGACTGCCCTTTCCAATGGTGGTCAAAAACCATAGGAGTAGTGAACTGTCGGAATAATCGCACTTTTAAGCAAACATATCCTATAGGGATTCGACATCAACTAATATTTCAGATAGGCAGTCATTATGACTTGTGTAGTTACGGACCAAGTACCGCACGTTTTCGTTACGATGTTATTCGAATTCTTACCTTCCATATTTATTTCTTATCTGTTGGAATTTTATTATGTAGTTAATGTACTTTATTCGACTGATAAGCCAACACAGAATTGACCAAGATATTTATTTGGCTAACGTTCCAACGTCTTCATCTTCCTCATAGCCGATGGTCCGAGTCGATATCAACGGTCCTTGCGGTCTCACAGTCGGCGTACTCTCGATGTGGTGTCTTCGTCATATAGTTGAATTGTATAGTTATACATGCTTCTGTTTAATTTTAGTTATATTCTGTCTCCTCCCAACGGTTTACCGCTTCATCTTGGCTTGGAGGTGTTCCTGGGTGTCGGGCTGCGATGCGAATTGGGGGATTCATACTGCTGGCAAGGTCTCCTAAGCTGAGAAGGAGTCCGGCGTTTCCATTAGGATACCTAGCTATGAGTAAACCAATACCAGGATCCACCACCGTCTTGTCAGATGCACAAGGGCAGCTACAGCCTGTGGTGGTGGCAACTTGGGCAGATTTTGGCCTGGTTGACCTGGGGACTCCAGAGAACCACGACGACTAAACGAGCAGAACTCCGAAAAATTAGTGATTGTGCTGGGACCTGCACAACCAGTGAGAACGGGCCATGCAGGTACCCAATTGTTCAAATGAGTGAAAGGAGTGCGAAAAGTATGATGTTATTTGAACTTACTAGTGCTGCGTTATGAGATTATATTTCAATACGTGAGATTATTCAACGACTAAAATTCGAACTTCAGAATCCAGATTGTCGTTTTGTTTCCAGGATTATAAAACGCCAGAGACTTGATGAATGTTTCCGCTGAGGTTGATGATGTTCAAGCTTTCAATACTTTTTTTTCCATTGTTTTCATGCATACTGTTTCCTTTTCAACATTTTTTTTCTAACATCTCTTCCTACGTATATAGAGTTTACATAGAAAAATAGCTGAGAGAAAGGCGAAACGAAAGACTCGTATGGTGTGGTGGTGGAGCGCTAACACACGGAAAGGGTAACAACGTGTTTGATTTCCACAGCAGAGACCTGTGATTCGGAGTTTTGCAATTATCTCAGCATCATTGTGTTTGTGCTTCACGTAATACCCTGAAAAGTTGTACTAGGCAGTAAGTAGAAAGTTAACATTACATACAGTTTATCTCCGTAATGAGTATATTTAATAAGTAAATCTGCTAAATTCGTCATGTTTAATAAGTGGCTGGTGTGTTGTTTGTGACGAGGACGAGGAGCATCTTGTCCGTCTATGTATTCACGACTCCCACCTGGTTATATAACGAAATCGACAGCGATCGTCGTTGGAAGTGGTCTGTTTGGTTATGGTGTTATTGAAGTACTGTGGGGTTCTGAAACGTTTTACAAAAAGGCGGTAGGTGTTTTGTGGGTCTTCTATCTTTCTACGATATGTGAATGCAATGTTTTAATTGTAGATAATGCCTTTAGTCCACAAATTTGTTGATGGTGAAACGTCGCACAATCTGGCGTTAACGGCTGCTTCATGGGGTTTGCTTCCACGTTTTGGATCAAATCATCGAGAATATCCTGAGTTGGAGTGTGAGGTTTGCAATATTTGACTTTGATATTTGTTGAATCTTTTTGAGCCCTAGTCGATTTTGCTTTGACCCGAGGAATATATGTCATCCAAAGCTTTTATGCCTTATGTTTCCTTTGCTTCTGTGAGCTGCTTTCATTAATCATATGCCATAATTTAAACATAATAGGCTTGACACCTGTAAACAAAAACTGTTATCGGTGCTACGCAAAATTTTAAAAAAGGCGCATATCGCGCAGTGGTCGGAGGCGCCCTGCTTTACACACGGGATTGATCCTCGCTCCCATGGCCCACCAAGCCTTCCATCCCTCCAATGTCCGCAGATTGGTATCAGACTTGTCTGGGAGGATAGCAGCACTGACTAGTTACATTGATAGGCCACCATGAGTCGTTGTAAAGGCCAGATATGCATTCAATCACCTCCAGCGATACTTAATGAAGCCGAATGCATGTCGCGTATCCCTCAGAGACTGCTCAACGCCGAAAGCTTTATTTTTATTATAGTGAAAATTCAACGCAATGGATGATTGTTACCTACTTTACATTTAGCAAAAATAGAATATGAGTTGCTTTCTGGTAATTTAAACCAATTAATTTATCATGGAACCTAAGTCACTGGGTGGGAATGATAGTTTCTACCTAGAGTAAACAATGTTCTCGTCATCGTGTTCCATGCGATGACGGAATTCGGTGAAACGGGTAAAGTGTAATCTCCCATTTTGTAGGAAATATTCATTTCAGGTTCTTGGATTATCACTGAAAAATCCTATTGGATTAGCAGCCGGATTTGACAAGAATGGTGATGCCATCCATTCATTGGCAAAGTCATCAGGTTTTGGCTTTGTTGAAGTAGGTACAGTGACACCTTTACCTCAGGAAGGGAACCCCAAACCGCGGGTATTCCGTTTGACTGAAGATGAGGTAATAGTTTCTCTCCAGTTCTAATGTGTTAGTTTCGTTTTGTAATATTCTCATCAGGCGACGATAAACAATATGCTAGGGAATAATAAATCGTTACGGATTTAATGGAGACGGTGCTGTGAAGGTTTCAAAAAGAGTACAGACAGCAAGGGCACTGTGGAAAAGCCAATTCGCTGCTCTTGGTGTAAATCTTGGGAAAAATAAATGCACCGAAGATGCTAAGTAAGTCGAACTTGTTAATAGAGCTTCTTTCCACTTTTTCTTTTGTAGTCATATTAGTAACTAGTGGCATGAATATATTTGGAATGCTAAAATATATGATATAAGCAGACATTTCTCGTTATTTCAGAGTCGATTATGAGATCGGCATTAAATATTTTGCACATCACTGCGATTACTTGGTGATCAACGTTTCTTCTCCGAACACTCCTGGGCTACGTTTGATGCAGAAGAAGTCGGATTTGGAAAAAGTAAGCAATTCTCAACTATGTTTGTCAGCGCAGAAACTATGAAAGTATATTTTTCCAGCTACTAACTCATGTTAAATATGTTCTTGACAATATGAAATTAGATTCTCCGCCTAAAGTTCTTCTCAAAATCGCTCCTGATCTTATTGAATCGGAGATGAGGGATATTGCGAAGGTATCATCATTAGCTGTTAGTTTTATTCTGTGCCTTTTTCTTATACTGATGTCTTTTCAGGTAGTTGTAGATCCGAAGTGTGGTGTTGACGGTTTAATAGTTTCCAATACAACGATTTCTCGTCCAAATTGTCTTAAAAGCGAGTTGAAAAGTCAGTCTGGAGGATTGAGTGGTGCACCACTGCGCCATATGAGTACTAATTGTGTGCGTGAAATGTACAAGTGAGATATTTCATAATTACTTTTTAGTCTTTTTCTGTGATATTTGTTCACCACTTTAGAGTCTAGATGTTTTCATGTACAGATTTACTCGAGGACAAGTACCTATTGTGGGATGTGGAGGAGTAGGAAGTGGTGAGGATGCGTACGAGAAAATTAGAGCTGGAGCATCGATAGTCCAGCTTTATTCTGCGATTGCCTTCCAAGGATTCCCAGTTGTTGGAAAGGTGAGATAAACGGGTCGAATCTAACATATACCTTATGCTGTCGTCATATTTTAACTGTGTTCGTGCATGATTTGTACTTAACCTTACCGTCTATTGTAGGTCAAAAGAGAGCTGGTGGAACTGCTGAAAAGAGATGGTTATAAAAATGTAACTGAAGCAGTTGGGGCTGACCACCGAATGCAACCCTAAATTTGATACACATGGTCTTAATTGTATTGTATAACGCTGTGCTTGTTTTACTTCGTTGTGATAAATTTTCTAACTTCAACCTTCGTGAAACTTCCATCCAGTAATTACCGATCATTTTTCTTCTTGCCATTAAAAAAGTCGCGTGATCATCATCAAATTCTACTGCGTTATACGTTCGCAGATAGAACTGAAGCTAAGAACAGATGTACGTTGATAGTTTCTATCAACCAAGCCATTCTAGTGATTCACGAAAGTCGATATCCCATGTTATCAGAATCTCCCAAGAACATGAAATTTTCGCTGTAGAAATGTACGGTGCGAAATATATCTTCCTCGCTGATGTATGATTGACATCAAAGAATGAGAAAAGAAAAAAGTGAGGAGAAAATCTCTGATTCTAAGGTAGTATAACGCTCTGCTCAATTTCCCGGTTACTAACAAAGCCATTTTATCTTGCTGTAGTAGCTCGCTTGATACCTCACTGAAAAAAGGATTGCTAAGAAAGAGGACATTGCGTGTGGTCATTGTTTACAAGATGTCTGATAGCGACATTGATCCGATATGGTTCTAGAGTGTACTTTACAAACTTTTAAATGTGGATAAAGTGGACTTCAATAGGGATCCGTTGTACGGAAGTTCCCAGAGTGTATCAAGTGTTCGTTTTCCCGATTTCTGCTGACTAGAGAAAAACACTTGAAGGTTTCCTGACGTGGGCAATCTTTGTAAGTTACCATCTATAAGAGGGTGAGCTTAATATAAAGGAGCGATAATCAAGCATCTCTGTGAGCATGCAGAAAGGACGACGTTACGTTTAGACTGGAAGGATACGTTTCACGAAAATGGAATTATGTCACTTTTTGTTCTATGTGAGCCATCATCACAGCTACTGTGCCAGTCTCTTGCATTTGTCACCCACAAAGGTCTTCGAACATTTCGCCTGTTGTTTCGGCTGCTTCTTCAAGATTTCGTCTTACTTATGAACGTTATGGAATACCGGTCGCGACGATTCTCTTTACAATCTCGGCAATATCCAGGTTAAAGCTCCAGAGCAATTCCACGTGAGAGCCTAGCCAATGTGTTTACGAGGACTGTGAAAGGTTATTCAGGTGTTCTGGTCTTATCCTCTCCGGACTTGGTGCTGTTCGATTCTTCACTGACGAAATAGCATGTCGGATTTCGGAAGGGAGTACTTGTGGTACAACATGTTCATCCTCCTTTATTTCATATAACGGAAGGTGGGCGTGGCTATCGAAGAGATCCGAGCAGTATTCGTGAATGATTTTCTCCATTGCCTTTCTGGACGCAGTAACTGTTCCGTCTGGGCGCCGGAGTGCAACCATTTTGATCTGTAATTGGAGAAGATTCGGCGTGCTTTGCGAATGCTTCTTACTTATGAACGTTATGGAATACCGGTCGCGACGATTCTCTTTACAATCTCGGCAATATCCAGGTTAAAGCTCCAGAGCAATTCCACGTGAGAGCCTAGCCAATGTGTTTACGAGGACTGTGAAAGGTTATTCAGGTGTTCTGGTCTTATCCTCTCCGGACTTGGTGCTGTTCGATTCTTCACTGACGAAATAGCATGTCGGATTTCGGAAGGGAGTACTTGTGGTACAACATGTTCATCCTCCTTTATTTCATATAACGGAAGGTGGGCGTGGCTATCGAAGAGATCCGAGCAGTATTCGTGAATGATTTTCTCCATTGCCTTTCTGGACGCAGTAACTGTTCCGTCTGGGCGCCGGAGTGCAACCATTTTGATCTGTAATTGGAGAAGATTCGGCGTGCTTTGCGAATGCTTTTCCCAACCTCTGCAGCTTCGACCATTACTGCTGCTCTTCTCTCTTTAAGATCTTCTTTTATCGTTTGTCTGCATTGTCTTGCAAGTTCGGACGTTAGTTCGCGGTTGCCTGCCGCTCGTGCGATTCCACGCTGGCATCTCAGCTCATCGACAATGGCATCTTCCCAACAACCGACTAATGAATTGAATAAGTCCCAGTTTGCGGTGGTTGTGCGACTTCGGTTTTGCAATTTAGCGGCCTTCTGTCCTTTCCGCGAGCAATAGAATCTTGCACGAAGGAGACGGTGGTCTGATCCCGTGTAGAATGTTCATCCTACTTACGCAGCGACCAGGTTTCTGACGCATACGTTAGGGCAGGAAGTACCGTTTAGTCGAAAAGGTGGGCACGGGGTCAGGTGTTCTTTGTTCTCTTCACCACATCCTCGATGGTCTTGAAAGCTTCCCAGGCCGCTCGTTTCCTTCCGCTAGGCTATGGAGCTAAGTCGTTCATCATATTGATTTCCCGACCTAGATAGACATAACTGGAGCCTTCGGAGATATTCGTTTCATTGAGCGTGAATGGTGCATACGAAGCCAATCCGTTCTTCATGAACATCGTTTCTGTGAGATTTAGTCGAAGACCAATCTTTCCACAGGCTTTATCAAAGTCGACAAGCATACGTTCCGCTTGGCTAATGTTTGGTGTGATAAGGACGATGTTATCAGCAAAGCGAAGATGATGTACGACCATCGATTTTCACTCCACTATTATCCGATTCCAATGTTCGCATGACGTTCTGGAGGGTGGCGGTAAATAATTTTGGCGAGATGGTAATCGCCTTGCCTAACGGAATGGGGCTCCTTGACTATCAAGGGCTTCCAAGACTGCTTCTATCTCAATTGAATCAAAGGCATTCTGTAAATCGATGAAACTGAGACAGAGCGGTCCTTTGTACTCTCGCGACACTTCAATGAGCCTTGTTATCGCGTGGATGTAGTCCATCGTACTAAATCCTTTTCGAGACCCTGCTTGTTCACATGGCTGTTCTTCGTCCAGTGTTCTCTCAATCCTGTTTAGGATAAGTCGAGTGAAAAGTTTGTAGAAGACAGCAAGCAGATTGGGCGATAGTTGCCGCTATCGTGTAGATCACCCTTCTTGAACAATAGCACGGTCTTGTTGGTCTTCCACTGAGTAGGGACCTTGCATTCAGATAGGTAACGTCTGAAAAGCCGAACCAGTGTGTTTACGAGGATTGGCCGAAGGTTCTTTAGGTGCTTTGGTCTTGTCCTGTTCGGACCCGGTGCTGTTCGATTTTTCACAGACGAAATGGCATGCGGGATTTCGGAAGGGAGAACCAGTGGTACAACATATCCATCCTCCTTTATTTCATATGACGGAAAGTGAACGTGGTTATCAAAGAGATATGAGTAGCAATCGTGAATAATTTTCTCCATTGCCTTTCTGGACGCTGTAACTGTTCCGTCCGGGCGTCGGAGAGCAATCATCTTGGTTTTGTAATTGGCGAAGCTTCGGTCGGCTTAGCGAATGCTTTCCCCAGTCTCTGCAGCTTCGACCATTACTGCTGCTCTTCTCTCTTTAAGATCTGCTTTTATCGGCTTTCTGCATTGTTTTGCAAGTTCGGACGTTTGCACATTTCAGCTCGAGTGATCCTGGAGATAGACGCCTCTTGGTTACTTTCGAACTCTCAGCTTTCATAGCGCGAACGTGAGGATGTTGAATGAGCTGATCGCATTCTTCGCCGATATTATCGACAACGGCATCTTCCCAAAGCCGACTAATGAATTGAATATGTCCCAGTTTACGGTGGTTCTGAGACATCGGTTTTTGAATTTAGCGGCTTTTTCTCCTTTCCGCGAGAGATAGAATCTTGCACGAAAGATACGGTGGTTTGATCCCGTGTAGAATTTTGGGACAACAGCAACATCGATTAGGCAAAACCTTCTATTTACTATGATGTGGTCTATTTCATTATGGTACTCTCCACTGGGAGATTACCACGTCCAGCGCTAAGGGTGGGGCTTCTGGAATTGCGAGTTACTTTGGATGGTCTTGGTCGCCATGATAAACTCAGAGAGCCGCTCACCTATTCGTTCCATTCCAATCCGTGATTCCCAATGTGGCGTTCTTCAGACGTTCTTCTTAGTCCAATCTTGGCGTTAAAATCTCCAATGATGACCTTGAAGAATGTGTGCTCTTCTCTGTAGAACTTCAAGTCCATATAGAACGCTTCGACTTCTTCGTCATAGTTTGATGTCGTTTCGTAAACGACAAAGATTGTCAAAGCCGGTATTGATCCACATTTTTTAATCGTAAACGTCCCATACGGGTTCTAAGCTGTTCAAATGAATCGATGTTCATGGACAAATTCGTGTTGACGAGAACGCCGACGCCGCCAGCTCCTCTACTGTCGCATGTTCCGAAGAACAGTTCTTCTCCGATGTCATAGACGGCTTTGAAAGGCTGGCGTCTTCTCGTCTCGGCCAGGCCGATGACGTCGTGCTTTATCCTTCTTGCTTGCATGAGCAAGTCTTCTATCGAGGACTCGGATGGAAGTGTACGTGCATTGTATGTACAGATCGTCACCATAGTTCTTTGTAATCCAGGCAGCTTCCATTGGCCCTGAGATTTTAGCAACCTCTCTGTACTGGTCCTACCCAACGCTGCGAAATTGGTGTTCTTTTGGAGTCAGGGGAATGAGGCCCGTTTTTTTTTTTTACTGTATTCAGCATTTTGATACCCACGTATAGCTTGCTGGGCTCTGAACGTGGGAGCTGAGTATACTCACGTGTAGCTTGCCAGGCTCTCCCAGAGTGGACATGGAGTTTATTTGTTGAAGGCGACTCCTAACCGCCTCCCATACACTTCCCTGTCACTTGATTGCAGGCTTTTGGTTGAGTGGACTCGTAGAATACAGTCCGCATGAGTACGCCTCGTAAATACAGAATGTACCAAATCGGCTCAGTAGAAACAGGGAGCCCATCCCCCGAACCATTTGCATCCTAGGAAGGCATTTGGTCCCCCATTAATCCACTTTTCGCCACCTGTAGATGCGCCACGTAGACATTCCTCGGTGGAAGACAGGTGAAATAGCGGCTCTGAAGAAGGCGATTCTGCCGAAACGTCAGCTACGATTGTGTTGTATGTGTGTTATTGTATGGAAGTAAAAGTATGCTGTTTAACAACCTCGCGATTGCTGAGAGAGAAAACGACGAATTCATAATCCAATGCCGAGGTTAATAGGAAGTCGATCCTGGGTTCTATTACAAGATAGTTGATATATTTATTTATACGATCTTATAAACCGATCTTGTTGAGTCGATGCGAGGTTGGTATATGTGGGAGTCCCACTCGTAACAGCAAGACTCTGAGGAAGACGAAATCGCCGAAACGTCAGCCATCGACCAACAACACCAACAACGACAACGACAACGAAAGCCTATACCAACCTCGCATTGGCTCAACAAGATCATATAAATAAATATATTACAACACCTGTTTTTATCCTTACTTTTACAACCGCCTGCGAGAGTGCATGCTTGACCGCTATAGTGCACTGTGTAATTGCAGAAAACATCTGCATACAGTTTTGGAAAAGTGGCTACAAAATTCAAATAGTTGTGTTTCTTTCAACGCCGTCAGTTTTCACTATTCTCAGATGACGTCGGCTGTGAATTGGAAGGCTGTTAGAGCCGGTGTTGGTCTGTTTTGTTTCCTCTTAGAAGGGTTCGTTGAATGTCGGTGGTTTAAAAGAAAAGCAATTTAAGTCTCTAAACGATTCGCACTTTTGGGAAAATATCCTCCTTGTCCATGGTATCGTCCGCTGAAAGAAGAGGTGAGTTGAAGAGATGTACTTGATTTCTTTATTAGGTACAAAGTGCTTTCGAGCTCTGAGCATTCCAGTTTGTTGCCTTGCAAAACGTTTTGCCGGAAGAGCAAGAGCACTTTATGAATGACGAAGTGCGGATGTTTCTAGCGGTGTGTTTTTTTTCAACTGTGAATCTTGTTTGCGTTTTATGGCGGTCTAAATTCTGTGAGAAATTTCAATCATGCTAAAAATCAAAGGGATACGAAACAGAAAACATTCGGTTCTCCTACAATGCTGACTCCGATTCTCCTGTGGGTCTGAAAGTCAATCCATCGTTAGATCCGTTCATGAGGTAAGTCTCCACTTTAGCTTACAGTTGTGGTCACATACGTTATTTACGGCACTTTAAAGTCTTTTATCATCGTTATTACCTCAACAGCTTAGGAGAGCTATGCATATTCTAATAGCTGGTTAATCTAGTGAATAGTTGGAAGTGACTGGATTCATATCTGACCTTTACAATAACTCGTGGTGGCCTATCGATGTATCGAGCCAGTGCTGCTATTCTCCCACACGTCTGGCACCACTTTGTCGACCCCGGGGGATGGAGGGCTAGGTGGCCCTGGGGCGCGGGGATCGATCCCATGTGTGTTGCAAGATTCCTTCGACCTCCGCGCTACACAAGCCGTACGATTTTGACAAACTGCGTAAAAGTGACATTTTACATAAGAGCATGTAAGGTGTTAGTAACCATTCTGTTAGAAACCATCGAAGCTGTTATCTAGGAATGTAAATTAACCTATTCTTCCATTGTTTGCGATCTTCGTAAATTCATCATAGTGTAATTGTGTACTGGAACCCGTACCAGTTACATTAATTTCCATATGTCAGAATTTTCAGGTCCGCTATTGAAAGGTTTAAAAACATCTTTATCAGTGTCTGGAATATACGCGTCTACGGTTATGGTAAGTTCATTTGTTTGATTGCATTATTTAGAAGGAATAGACTTTAAGACCGTGATGGATCCTTCAGCAGACGTAGAAAGACTAAGAAGACCTACTTTCTATAAACCTCAGCATAAATAATCGATATATTTATTTATATGACCTTATGAACTAATCTTGTTGAGCTGACGGGAGGTTAGTGTAAGTTTTCGTCGTCGTTGTTGTTGTCGTTGTTGGTCGATGGCTGACCTTTCGGCGGTTTCTCCTTCTTCAGAGCCGTGTTGTTGCGAGTGGTACTCAACACTAACAACAACAGGGACAACTTACATTAACCCTGCATCAGTTCAACAAGATCATTTCATACGATCATTTAAGTAAATGTGCAGAAATTATTCATTTGCTGTTTATAACTCACTTACGACAATAGGTATCCATTTACACTGAGACCTACTGTGAAAGCCATTTTAAAGCCGAACTAAAAATACTAGCAGTTTGGTCTGTTAATTCGCTATCTACGCCTTAATCAATGGCTCGCTTTACAGATACACGGTTTCTAGAGAGTGAACCATAAAGACTGGACTTTCTTTTTTAGTTCTGAAGCACGATTTTTCGTTCTCACTTACGGCACGAGCTGTTGCTTACGATATTGTAACACGCTTTGATAAACTCCTTCGTCCTATTATTGAAGAACGCTGTTATGATGTGAGTCTCATAAGTCTCATGTCATCTTAAGTGTTTGCACGTTTCTTATGCAGTTTTGCTTTGATTTAGATTACGAAATGGGACTGAGCTTGTTTTAGCTTGCTGATTTTGGTCTAAACACTCTTAGTCGCACTGTTGCGAGTGTGCAGTCTTCCATAAGAATCTATGCAAATGTCATAACATCGATTAAAAAGGTGAGTTCACTGGCTGTGTTAAGAGCTCTTGCTTTCTACTTAATCGTTTATAGGATTCTCTTGTTGGAGGTCAAGTTTTAACCATGTTGTACAATTTACGAGAGAATGCCATTGTGACAAAGGACATGCATGATCTGCAGGAAATTTTCATGGTAAATTGACAATAGTCTAGTTTCTGTGATACGAATTTTCATATTGTGATGCTTTTTTTTTGTTGTTAGTCACCCAGTCAATATTTATTTCAGTTTAAGTATTCCAATACTTTTTTTGTTACAGGTTGCTTGGAAAGTGTTTGCAGTAAGAGTGGGAGCTTGGGTAGAACAAGGACTACTAAACGATTCAGAGTTGGAGGTTTTACCTTTCAATGCTTTTTGGATAGTCTTTTCAGGAAAGTTTTTTATTATTTCAGTTCATTATTTGGCCTACTTCGGCGTTATCACCAGCGGTGTGCTCAAAGATCGTCTCAAATTCTTCAATAAGGTGATCAGTTCATCTCGAAAACTGATACTAACATCGACAATATTTTTCTTTCCTTACCATATTCTACTTTTAGACTTGATTCCAATGATTATATTTTGATTGAAGACCTTTGTCCTTCATTCCTGCTCAGTCTTCTTCCATCGATAGTCAAATGTGGTTATTACAACAATATGATCAGCAAGGCTAATATGGGTCAAGGTACGCTGGCTGTTGAAAACATTTTCATAAAACAATGGTGTCATCAATTTTTTCTCGGTTCAAAACCTTGCCGATTGCTCCCACAGAAAGAAAATGGTTTATCATTTGATTGTTACAGAAAAGACATCAACAGCTTGGTCGGAGCTTAATGTAACGCAGTTGCAACGTAAAGTATGTCCTCGCTTTCCGAATGCCATATTTGGACATTTTTCGCCTCAAATCTTCTATTCTTCTTAGGTTCATGAATTTGAAAAGAGCAAGTCATCCGTGGTGCTAAAACACTTACGTGCCAGTATGTCGTTCGACACTGCAATACGGTGAGCATTTGCTAGCCAGGTTATAATCGGTTACATTTGAGAGGACGTGTTTTACAGAGATGTCATGATGTTACTTCTTGAAGGGAGGGAGATCGACATCTTACTAAAGCATTGTCAGAAAGAATCAATTCTAGAACGACCGGTGGAAGAAGTCTCGAAGTTAGTTTGGTCACAGCTATTGACATTTCTTTCCCCAAAATTGTGGTATTACCTGATTTTGAATTGTGTTTCACTTTGATCAGGCTTTGATTTTAGGCAACAATTACGGAGAGTCTCAGAGATGTTCATAAGAGGACTATCTAGCAAAATCCCATTTGTGTCCAATTTCAAGTGAGTGTTGAATCACTTTGAACAACTCTTTCGCACAATTAATTCATGTATGGTGTTTCTATTGCTGACTAGTAAACAGCTTGATAAGGAGAATGAGTTTTATCAACTTTTCTACGTATTTGGTTTCAGACTTTCGCTATCTAATGGTTATATATTTGAAGAACTGCGTACGTCATCTCTTGTAAACGATGCTCCACGTGAACCACTTAAGCCATTAGATAAAGTTCGAAACCTACTGAGATAAAACTTTTTTCTTCCAAATTCCGATCTTGTACATTTTCTATGTAACGATTATTTTAGATGTTACTTCTCGACGTCTTATGCATGGCATATACACCTCCAACAAAGATGGAAAAACTAATACCTCTCTATATTATTCAGATGTACACCTTCGTATTTCGACTTTATATGCAACTTCGTGCTTCTATAACATGTCTATCGGAAGGGTAAAAAATATCCTCATCTACTTTGTTCCGTAAGGTTCTTAATTTCATGGGGTTCGTTATCAAACTTAGTTCAATACTTAGGTTGTTTGAATTGGGCCTCACGAGAAACCCATCCAGCTTTCCTCGTGCTGCCATTTTGTCCGCTCTTTATCGAAATGTTGTTGATCTAACAGTTGACTTTGCGGATGCAGTTGCTCTTGCTACGTCAAATTTTGTTAATGAGATGGCCGAGGTATAGTGAGATTCGATTTTTGAGTTATTCATGAAATATTAAGATATTTGCTATGATTTATCCGCTGTCCTTTTTCTTTTTTTTTTGCTCTTTACATTATTCGTAATTGCCTACTGTTTAGGCTGAGAGTATCGATGCGGTGCTGAAGCTACAAAAGGATGTCGTTTTCCAGATTTTTGCCGTAAGTTTCATGTAAATGTTTCACCTTCCACTCTGCTTATATAAAGTCAACGTTAGTGGAGAGTGCATTATAGAAGGAAAGTTGAATTGAAAATGTGGGTGTGGTCCCAGGTGTTTTTCATCGTTGCATTCTCGAAGCTATTATGACCACGTTTCTATAATATTTAACATGATACAGTTCGCGGCGTTTTTGTTCGTCTTAATCGTTGATTAAATTTTACACACAATCCGTCGAAATTTCCCAGTATTCATTTTTTACTGTTACTTTTTGGTACTATGAAGAAGGTGCCGTCAATGAAGCGAAGGTGATACAGCCTGTTAGCCATTCTTTTCCATCCTTTTCTTGTTGGCAAGGTGAACTCATCTTTCGATTACACAATTTTATCTCAGCGATAATGTAGTTAGAATGGCGAAATTTCACCGAATTGAACCTTTTCGGAATTACTCTTGCTCATAGGAATGTTAGAATGAGGGATTGAGTAGCTGAAGTTCGTTTCCATCATTATTGTTGTCGCTTTTATCTTGTTAACAAAATAATAACGTCGAGCCACAACGTTTTCCATACGGAATTGTGCACAGGTAACCCTTCCTAAATACTTCGCGAGCTTGAGTACACTGGAGGCGAAGTTTACAAATATAAACCTCACCTGGTTTTACTCATTGCAAAGGACCTAGTTTGTACATCTTTTATGAAAGGCAATGTATTTCCTTTAGGAGAGCGGTCTGAATCAATGGAGGAAATTGGCTTATATGATGCGTTTAGTAAATCTGGTATCTAGATTGGGTGTATCTGGCCTCTTAGTACGTTCTCTTAATCTATTTTCTAAACTTTTATACAGTAAATATTATTGGTTCTAATGACAACTGTTCGTAGAATTCTACAACACTTACTGAGGATTATTATGTCATACTAGAAGATGTGGAGTCAATGGAGCTTACCGAATGAGCTCTTGTTTTCGTCCATTACTGGACCACAAAGGTCATCCGGACTGCGAAAAGATGGACGGAGCGCGTCGGCGAAAGTACTTCTGATTCTCTACAGATTCTCTACATGATGTCATTTTTCTAATGTTGTTTTGTAAATGCTGTTGTTTTGTCTTTCGATTTATGTGTTCCTCACTTCGAAGGATAGACACATTAATTAGTCTCAAATGATGATTGGTCATAATAACTGATCACTCGTGGAACACACACATATTTACACAATCCACTACTTATGTCAGTCTACCGAACCTGAAATCTCACCTGTTGAATCCAGCACATAAGCCACTACGCCTAAATCCTACTCGTGCATGGTGTGCGTTGAAAAATTCGTCCTGAAAAGGTCTTATTTTTAGTCCTCTATAGTTATTTTTTGTAGTAATTGTGTGATAACAGCTCTTCATGGATCACGTCAGCATAGTGATTGAATAAAAGAAGTGCAACAAATAAACTCTTTGCGGTAAAATGTATAGCAGGAGGAATGTGCAGTGATCTCAATGCATACCGTCAGTTGTGTGTTAAGCGAGAAATAATCGAGTATCACAACGGTAACTTCTTATTTACTACCTATTATTATTTTTTACGGCGGAGAATGACGTGAAGTACAATCACTATGATGCTGAGATATTTGCAAAAATTGTTGCTTTTGTTCGTCAGAGCCGCTTCCTATGAGGTTTCCATTAAGTATGTCATGTAGAGACCAACCGCAATGTGATCACATTATACTTCCATGTGATTTCCGTGCGGTTGGTCTCTACGTGACATACTTAGTGGAAACCTCATAGGAAGCGGCTCTGAGGAAGGCGAAATCCGCCGAAACGTCAGCTTAATCGTGAACAAAGAATAATAACACCTCGCGTTTGCTCAACAAAAATACGAAGAAAATTACTTGATCAATGCCGAGGTTAATAGAAACTCGGTCGTGGCAGTTGTTGTTTTTGATTATAAACTTGGACCCTGGCCGGGTTCGAACCCGCGACTACCCTTTTGGGAGGTCATAAGTTACCCACCGCGTCACTCAAGCGCCTGCTTTCCCTTACTTTCAGCCAGCCTACCTAACGGTGCTAGCGGTGATTAACAATCGAGTATGTTGGAAAGTTGGTGAAACAATTGTTACTTAACTAATGTTGTGCGTTTGATACCGTGTAGTGAGAAATCTGATGGATCCTTCATTATGTATGATGTTCGCTCCACATTAGCACACAAAACAGAATCATATATGAAATCACAACTTATTTCCGTCGAGTGGTGATTGTTGACAGCACCCATAAAACACGGCTGAAAGACAGGCGAAACGAAGCACCCGCATGGTGGGGTGTTGAACACGTTAGCCCCGGAAACTGTGAGAACAGATTCGACTTCCACCGCAGACACCATCGGCTCGGAGTTTTGCAGATATCTCAGCATCATTTTGGTTGAATCATATATGTTTTCTGTTATAAGTTTAGCAGCCAGTAAGCTTTTTTCTGAGTGCCTGTGAACGAGAGAATGAACTGTGTAGGAGACGGCGATGTGTGTGCAGTGTCTGCAATGCAGATCGAGTATTCAAATGATTTAAGCCGGTGCTTAAAGTTTTCCATCCTGAATTTTTTAAACTAGTATTTGTTCATCATATGTTGTTTCATATTTGACGAGTATCAATTTATTTTACCTAGTGCTACCATCAAATAATCTATTTACTACACAGTCTTTTGGTATCATAGTAGATAAGGGTGGTTATGGTTCTTTTCTGATCTTACAATACGGAGATCTGAGAAGTGTGTCAGAACAGGGAGATCAGGAAGTGTTGTTGGATCCGCCTTTTTTCTTCTGCATCACCATTTCCATGTTCTCGAAAGTTCCTTGCTTTGGCTTCCTCTTAATCACTTCTGCTCGAATGTTTTTGATTATAAAACTAGGATGATGCTGAGATATTTCCAAAACTCCGGACCGCAGGTGTCTACGGTGGAGAACGAACGCGCTATTGTCCTTTCCGGGGAGTAACGCGTTCACCACCACCATGCGGGTCGTTCGTTTTGCCTGTCTCTCAGCTAGTTCTATCGATCCGCGCCATCAGCAATCACCCGTTATATTTATTTATGTGATCTTATAAACTGATCTTCTTAGGCTGACGCGAGGTTGGTGCAGATCTTCGTTGTCGTTGTCGTTGTTATGATGTTATTGATCGATGGCTGACGTTTCGGCAACTTCGTCTTCCTCAGAGCCTGGACGTACTTTATGTTAGAATACTTTTTATTATTCGGTGGAAAAGAAGGTTAAAGGTTAAAGTATTAATGAAGATCATACTTTCAAATAGACGCCATATTGAACAGAAAGGCCACCGTGATGTTACGTGCGGGACTGGCCCACACGTAGTTCACGTGGAGTCGCGAGCAAGAAACGCCCCGGGGTCAAAATATCATTTTGAAATAGGGCGCCAGGTCACGCGTGATAGTGAAGCATTCGTCCTTCCAGTTCATCTTTGGATTTTTGAAATTTATCCAAAACGCCTCGAGAGTTTTGCGCGTTGATGTTTTTGATTCCTGCGCTAGGATCCGCACATTCACATCAAAATCATCGCCGTTGTGCTTTTTTGCCTTATGCGTACCTAGAGGGGTGTTTAAACGGATTTTAGCTTTCCCATCTAGATGTTCTTTTATGCGGACACAAAGTGGTCTACCCGTTTCTCCGATATATTCCTCGCCGCATGCATTACATGAGATCAAGTATATTATACCTAAACTCATGCAATCCCCGTCTCTCCCGTTAGGACAGATCATACAGTTTTCTGAGCTGCACAAACGATCATCATTATGTCAAAATGACTAACTAATTGACTAATTATGTCAAAATGGACGCCATATTGATTGAAATTTTGATCTTCATTAATACTTTAACCTTCTTTTCCACCGAATAATAAAAAGTATTCTATCATAAAGTACGTCCAGGCTCTGAGGAAGGCGAAGTTGCCGAAACGTCAGCCATCGATCAATAACATCATAAACAACGACAACGACAACGACAACGAAGATCTGTACCAACCTCGCGTCAGTCTAAGAAGATCAGTTTATAAGATCACATAAATAAATATAACGGGTGATTGCTGATGGCGCCGATCGATAGAACTAGCTGAGAGACAGGCAAAACGAACGACCCGCATGGTGGTGGTGAACGCGTTACTCCCCGGAAAGGACAATAGCGCGTTCGTTCTCCACCGTAGACACTTGCGGTCCGGAGTTTTGCAAATATCTCAGCATCACCATAGTTGGATTTCACAAGATACCCTGCCATTAAAAATTATAGTAGGCAGCAAATAAAAAGGTTAAAATTGTGATTTTTGTTTATATTTGCCTTCATGATGTTCATAAAAAAGGATAAAGCGGTCGACATTGATCAATCCTTGAGGGATGCCCTATGCATTCTACTTCATTAAACATCATCTGGAGGTGAATGCATATCTGGTCTATACAATGACTCGCGGTGCCCTACCGATGCATTGAGTCAATGCTGCTATCCTCCCAGGCAAGTCTGGTGCCAATTTGTCTCTCCTGGATGGATGGAAGGCCCAGTGAACTTGAGGCGCGACATCGAATCCATGTGTATTGCAGGATGCCTCCGGCCACTGCTCTACATGCCCCTGTTTTATGATAGCAGAATATACGTGTTGATTGCATTTCGTTATAATGACCATTTGATTCAGCTGTAGAAAATTTTTCGCATTTGAGTAGTAGGGACCCTTGTGAAGATGATACTAGATTTGTTTGTCACCGAATCGAGGCCGTCTGATGTCCAACAATACATGTATATTATCCAACAATACATGAATATTTTGTCACTTATGCGCGTTCTCCGGAATGCCCTTGGTTTGTCTCAGTTTCATCCCCGGGGTTCATCAAGACCCCCATCCCTCCGAGGTCAGCAAATTAGTACTAGATTTGTATGGAAGGATAGCACTGACTCGGTACACCATCACTGAGCTACCGCAAGTCATTGTATAGGCCGGATATGCATTCGGTCGTCACGAACGATGCTTGATGAAATTGAATGGATAGCGCATCCCGTAGAGATTGATTAAAGAGGAAAGCTTTATCTTTTATCCTTTGCGCTTTGGCGAAGAAAAACTCATTTTGTAATTATGTGATCGCAACTCTATGCGCTACAATTGGCGAGCATGTAATAATAGCATTACCAGTTGTCTATGAGCCCGTTAACATGTAACGCCCGAGGTGCATTGTATAGTAGTGCATGCGTGGAGGCGGGGCAACATGGAATGCACTGAGTTGTATGCATATCGTTTTCGATGGTTTATTTCGCTGAACAAAGCTTTTTCTGTCACACATGTATTGTTGATAGTTTGTCCAGCAAGAATGTTATATCATGCAAGGGCCATGAAGAGCTATTCTATAAAGGATAAAATAAAAGGATAAGTTTTATATAATGTTGAGATATTTGCAAAACTCCGAACCGCAGGTGTCTGCGGTGGGGAACGAACGCGCTGTTTTCCTTTCCGAGGAGCAACGCGTTCACCACCACACCATGCGGGTCCTTCGTCTCGCCTGTCTCTCAGCTAGTTCCATCGATCACTTGCCATCAGCAATCACCCGTCAACGGGTTTGATCTGGGGAGCCCAAATCGACATTGAACGACGTTAAGCTGAGGCTATATTTGTAATCATAATGATCGATAGAACTAGCTGAGAGACGGGCGAGACGAAGGATCCACATGGTGTGGTGGTGAACGCGTTACTCCCCGGAAAGGAAAACGGTGCGTTCGTTCCCCACCGCAGGCACCTGTGGTCCGGAGTTTTGCAAATATCACAGCATTATATAAGTTATATTTTGCAACATACCCTGCCATTAAAAAGGAATAGACAGTAAATAAAAAGGTTAAAAGGATAAGGTTCTCAGCGTTGATCAATCCCTGAGGGATGCACCATGCATTTTACTTCATTAAGCATCGTTAGAGGTGGTTGAACGCATATCTGGC